AGCTGGAGAGAAACAGGAGCAAAATGCTGGATGATCTTGGATAAACCTGGCGAGATCTTGGATGAGTGTCTCGACCCCTCTGAGCTTGGCGTTCTCATCTGTAAAATGGGGGAGTAGTGGTGTTGTGGTCGAGGTAGCGTCACCATCAGTCACGATGGAGGCTGAGACCCTGTTCCCAGGAACGGCACTGACAGTGAGGAGGGTGAAGGCGGAGGGCCAGACGAGAGAGGGCACTGGCTGTCGGGCATGAAGCAGGGGTGGCCGTGGAAGTGAAAGTGAGTACTCGGAGCCTGGCAGCAGCATTTCCACTCAAGGGCACTTCCCTCCTGACACTGGGCACCTGTGGAAAAGTCACAGGCTTTGGAGTCTGACGTTCCTGGTTTGAATTTGAGCTCAGCCACTTCCTGTATGAGCCTCGTCCAATACGATACCCTCATCCAGTGTGACAGCCACATGTGACTATTTAAACATAAATTCTCAGTCACACTAGCCACCTCGCATTTGATCACTGGCTCCCACATCGGACAGCACAGCATGGGCCGTCCGTCCCCCATCACAGAATCCTACTGCCTGGTGATCATCAGGTGACCTGAATGTGGGCACAGGGCCTGGACCAGGGCAGCGGGGAACTCGCCGCAGCGCTCAGCCCTCCCTGCCTCGAGGACTCTGGCTGAGCCCCGAGTCCCCACGCTCACCTGGCCAAGGTGGTGCTGTTCCGTGCAGAGCAGGTGAAATGCTGGAGCCAGCTGCTCTGGATGCGGATCTGCTATGGATGCGTCGTGTGGCTGAGTGATGCTGCCCCCTAGAACCTTGATTTCTTCATTTGCAAAATAGTAATTCAAGCTCCTCCAGAATCAGAACACTGCTGCCAGAGTCAAGCAAGTAAATGGTGGAAAGTGCTCTGAAACACGGGGACGGCAGGGACACAGGGACGGCACGGTGAGGTGAGAATAGCCCGCAGTGGCTGACAGGAGGCGGAACCACAACTGCACCTCCACTAGCTGAGGACCCTTAAGTCCACTGAGGAGGCTGCACTAGCCATGTGCCAAACGCCAGGTGTTGGGGGACAGAGAGATGGTGAACAGCAGGCCCGCCCTCCTGGGGCTCTGTCCAGCCCCTACTTTTTCTTCTTCCTCTTCACCCCCCCCCAACAGGAAGCCCTCCTTACCTGAGCTCAGAGGTACCCAGAAGGGTCTCTGCACTGGGGCAGGAACCACCCCAGAGCTTGGGGTCCCTGATAGTGTGACTGGTGTCATTTTTATTGAGCACTTGCTACATGCTGTTATCTAGCAGAGTCCCTTTTGTGCATTTGTAACCTTCACAATCACCCTAAGAGTTTTTATTGCCTCCACTTTATAGACAAAAAAATCGACGTTAACATACCTGAAGTGGCTCATCTAGCGAAACAGAGCAGGAGTCTGAACTCAGAACTTAGTGACTCTAAAGCAGGCACTGAGCCACTGCATTGATTTGTGCTGTCTTCTGGTCTGACACTCTCCAATAAAACGATCACTGTACCAGAACACAGGTTTCCCTTAGGAACCCAGGAACAGGGGAGAGAGGGGAAGTCAGATGGGCCAAGGTGCTCCCTAGAGCCGCCTGGGTTGGGGAACCGTCCTCGTGCACTTGTGCCAGGCCCTGTGTGGGGCTCAGCTACCCCCACACTGTGCTCCAGTGGGAGGAAGGGTCCCCACGGAGCTGTCCAGTGTTGGGACTGGTGAAACTAAGGGGTGGGTCCTGAGCCACAACAGATCTTGTCCCAAACAGGCAGAGACCATCTCCGGCTGGTGACCTCGGAGTTGTAGGCGTGGCTGCAGTCTCAGATGGGATGGGCAGAACAGAGAGACAGCGATAGGGAGACTTAGCAGGTCCTATGACAACAGTCCAGGCCTAACAGACCAGGCTGCTGAAGGCCTGGAAAGGATGGCTGGTGTAACACGAGAAACGCCGGCATACACAGCGCGAGGTTGAAGGGCAAGCTCTGCAGCCAGGTGGCCTAGGTTCAGCTCCCAGCTGTGTTGCTCAGTGGCCATGTTGTTCAAGTGACTTCTGTGGTGTCAGTTGTCATCGACACCAGGGTGCCGGTGACACAAGCTTCCGTAACGCTCTGTCCACTGTCCAGCAGTGCTAAGTGCTTAACAACAGTAACTATTACTTATATTTCTAAAGAATATTAATCTCCCATCCTCGTGAAAAAGACAAAGAAAAAAAAGAGAGAAACACAGCATTTGTGGGTACTTAGACCTCAGTCAGGGCTCGCCCGGGTGCTTTTGGTGCTTGTTTCTCAGGTATGACCCCTGCCTGCAGGTGGCCTGTCCCTCCAGAGCACAGGCCATGTACCACTGTGGCCAGACACGGCCCTGACCTCCACAGCACCTGGCCTGGGACCCAGCACTTAACAGGCCTGCAGAGTCTGGGACTTCAGGGCTGGGACACCTGATGTGCCAGGCGACCTGTGCACGTGTGTATGTTAACAAAAATAGTAACGCACAGGTCTTGCCCTTGAAGGGTCACAGGGGAGCCAGTGGGGAGCTGAAGCCACCCGGTGACAATCTCATCATCTATGCCCCCGACCCCACTCCTGCTGTGACCCGCTGTCTCTCACCCGCAGTCACGTGGGCACGCACAGCCACCCTTTCCCTCGTTCCACCTCGGTTCCCTGGGCTCACGGCAGCTCTAGCCCCGGCCTCTCTGGAAATGCTGGTTTTGGCCTGGAAACTGTGTGGAGCACAGAAGTTTCAACCCTAAATGGAATGAAAAGCCGTTCGGTCCTGTGCCAGCCCCAGGGGCCGCCTTTCCCACCCCCTGCCGGTTCTTATCAGACCCTCGTGATGACAGGTCTATGAAGTCTCCCCTGGAGGGGTCTGTGAGTCCCTGGACAAGGTCACTTGTCCTGACGTGTTTGATCAGCTGCTCTGGCTTGCGCTGGGGGAGCCAGAGCAAGAAGAGCCGGCAGGAGTGGTGTTTGATCAGAGCAGCCGGGGAGCTCCAGCCTGGCTGGCTGCTCTTGGCCTCCTGCTAATCTCTCCTTGGAGGACAAAGAAAGGAGGATGTTCGGATAGGCCAGCCCACAGGTAACCTGGGGAACAGCCTTGCTGGCAGAGGTGAGATGCAGAAGCTGGGCTTTTCACTGAGTGGCTGGGAGGGCACAAGACAGGCACGCTGCTCGGTCCGGGTCGGGCGGCAGCAGCTAAGCAACGTGAGTCGCTGTCTGGGGCCAAGTGTGTGGTGGCAAAGACAGGTGTCTTCATGGACTGGGATCTGTGATCTGGTAGCACCAGGTGCCTGGGCAGAGGACAGACCAGGTGCACAAGAAAAAAACGAACCTGCTTTCTATGCCTCTGTCCTAGACCCTTGCCTCCCAGGGAAACCCAAGTCCTGGGTTATTTCCCAATGGCGGGAGATGGCTCTTGTCTAGGACAAGTTATTTTTTCCTACTCATAGTGCACGCTCACAGAGAGTGAGGTAAGCGATGGAAAGGACAGCTCAAGAGGCAGGGTGGGAAGGCCAGCGTTCCCATTCCCCCCCCCCCCCCGGCTGTGTTGCTGCCTGACCTCCGGTCTTTGCTCAGACATGACCCCTTCGCTGTGGCACCTCAGGGCTCTGAGTCCCTGCTCCAAGCTCCTCTTATCCCCATTCGCTCTGGTCTGGGACAGAGGCTCTGGTCTGCTGCCGTACAGCCCAGAGGTAAACCCTGCCCTGGCCTTGGGCACCCCGGCAGTGCACGCCAGGCCCTCCACCTTAGGACACGCTGGGCTCCCTTCTGTCCTGTCCTTTCTGGAGCATCTCTACTCTGCTAGGCATTGTACAAACGCTAACTCTCCACACAATCACTGTTAGGAGCGACTTGCCCAAGGTCATTGTCTAGTTAGAGCTGGGCTGGGAAGTTCCGAGTCTAGGCCTGAGATAACTGGACCAGGGAGCTGCTCAGCCCATTTCCTACCTCTGCTCAGCTGCTCCTGACCCACAGCAGTGCTCTGCCTCCATACCTGTCCCCTTCACAGCTGGGGCCCAGCTGCGTGCTACCGTTACACCCCGCTGCTTGCGATGCTCTCGGGATTACTGCTGTAGAAAGACAGCTCTGGCCTCTCTCTCCAAAGACACTGCTTAGGCAGAAGGGCCCCAAGTGCTTTGGACAGGAGTCTCTGTCTGCGCTGGCCACACCAGAACTGTCCCAGGAGAAGCCAGCAGAGCGCTTCACCCGCCAGCCCCGGCCACAGGGCTGACCTGAGCTTGGAGGTGGCGGGATCCGGTGCCTCCCGGCCTCACACACTGGTTCTCACTGCAAAAATCATGTGCAGCATAGCTGGGCATCTGCCTCTCTCGTCTCCTCGTTGGCTGCCAGCAATGTGACATTTTCAGCCTTCACCACAAAAGGTTTCTGCTTATTTTATACTTATCTGCTCAGCGCTTTATGCTTTGGGGGCAGTTGAGATTCTAGAGATAAATGAGAAGTACTGGGTGTTATAAAGATCCCTAAGGATTCAGAGAGACTGGAAGAAGAGACACATCAACATGAAGGAACGAATGTTCTCAATGCTGGAAACTGCGGGGAATGACTGACCTGCGTGTGGAGGGCTTTATTAATAAAACTAAAATTTTCAAGACTAAATTCACTAAGTCCAGGCTTTTAATCTGCACTACAGCTCTGTGGGGCAGATACAATAATGTCCCTCGATGACGGACGGGAGTCAGAGGAGGGAGCTCAGAAAGGGTGTCTCACCCAAGGTCACAGTCAGAAGTGGCACAGCTGGGACGTGCCCAGGTGTGACACAAGGCCGGTCTCCAGAACACTGCACCACACTCGCTCTCTGGGAAAGAGGGTTTAGGAAACGAGACTCCATACACAGGGGAGCACCCCCGCACCTGCTAACAAGGCCTGAAGGAAAACAATGGCCCCTAGGACTCCAGGCCTATGAAGCCAGCTTGACAGCTGCCCAGAGCCGAAGAGAAAACACCTATATCATCATCACAGCCCATTTGAAACTCACACGGCATCATGTTTTTCAAAGTACATGTTTTATTTACATGGAATAGTGCAAGGTGAGCACAAATAAGGGTGTGTAATCCAATGTACCCAGCATCCTGTGCTGGTTAGCTGTCCGGACCACGGGTGGTAGTGGGTGGGGCTGGCCCTGGCAGGGGAAACGATAAACATTTCTGTGACTCGGAAGCGGTCTAAATTCAACGAGCCCAGGGGACCCTTCTCTCTCGACACATAATCCCCAAAGCACAGACAGCTCCTCTTCTGCACAGGCTGACTCGCAGGCGTGGCGAGTCTCTGCGTCCTGGCTGTGCGCTGAGCTTCCGGCCCAAGTCCTACCAGCCCCGGTTTTCCATGGCAACATGACAACAATCAGCTGCCCTCCTACTCCTTTCCCCCCATCTCCCAAGTGTCCCTGGGATATACTGGGCCAAGAGAGCAGGGACAAGCTGCTGAGTTTTCTTCGGGAGGACAGATTAAAATGTGCCAGCACCTTCTCCACCACCGTCCACCTTTCTAGCCCCAGTTGAACAGAGACACCACAATGTCAGGTGACTTCTATCCCTTAGTCAGCTCATTGGCCTCAAGCACAGAAGATTTCAAGGCACACCCCTCTGATCTCATCAATATGCCATCAGCCCGTGCTGACCAGACCATTACCTGGCGTGAGAGAGCAGCTATCCAGACCCACCTCATCTCCTCAGTCCTAGGAGCGTTCCTGATTGGATCAGGGGCAGAGGGCAGGGCCCTTGTCTCCCACTCGCCTCTCTGGACCGACTGTGGGAGCTTATTCCTGGGGTGTGCTCCATGGTCAGTAGGCAGGGGAGTCCCGACACTTTCTCAGAGAGGACTGGGATCACTGGGGAACCCAGGATTCGCAACGGGTAGGCCCTGGTCTCAACTTTTCCAAACACAAAGCTTCTGAGACAGAGCAGGTGGACTTTCTGAGATCAGCGAGTGGACACCTGTGTCGCTGCCCCTTTGCTGCCCCTGTGGCCCCAGGTTCTGCTCACATACTTGCTCTTGGGTCATCTACGCGCTGTCTCACTTGCCTGGGTGAGTCCCACTTCTTTGAGTGTTCCCACCATTCCCACCAAACTCGACTCCGGCCGGGAGTCTGCCTGCCTTTCCCTCTTCACCAGCTGCTTCATGAGCTCTGGGAGCCACAGACGCCCCCACACCTCCTCGAAGGCCCCCGGTTCAGCAGGGAGCCCGCAGGGCAGCACCCAAGGCGATGAGGCAACGCGAACACCACTGCCACAAAGTACGTAGGTGATGTGGACTGAGCGCACGGTAACAACGGCAGTTCCAAAGGTCTCCTGGGCAGAAGTGGGGGAAAAGAATAAGATGGCTAAGTAGAGCTAGAAAAAGTTTTTCTACGGTAAAATTCACACTTGGGTGTCTCCAGGGAGTGACACTGGAAAATCAGTGCCATGCAGAGTCTTGCAAAGGTACACTCAGAGCAAAGACTGAGTTCGGGATGGCCTTTCCTCTCCCGAGCAGATGGAGCATGGGGTTCGTGCATCCTGCCGTGTGGGCCTCGAGGGAGTCTGCCAGCAGTACATCCAACTTCCGCGCCTGCGCCCAGCACGGTGACCTCTGCTCTGGGGATTCTGGAGGAAGCTCGTGTCCTGTCCCAGGCCGGGCCCGTCAGACACTGGGAAAGGGTTTCTCAGTGTGTCTAAGGACCTGGAACTTGGCTTTAAATCACATAGCTTCCTTTATTCAGAAGACTTTTTAAAAAGAAACATCGCTTTCTCTTCTGGCCTCAGCAACGACTGTTTCATGTGTCTGTGTCTTGGCTGGAAGAGGTGGTGACGGCGCTGCAGTTCCCAGCCACTGAGCAGCTGCTGTCTCGTCCGCGGGAGGCTCAGGCCAGTCCACTCCCCTCCGGTGGGCTTTATCTGGGTCAAGGGGAGAGTCAGTGCTGCGGTGCCTCGCAGATCAAGAGCTCTCCGGGTCTGAGAGCTCACAGAACTGGAAACCTTAGGGAGAGAGACGGCTTGGCCGAAGCAGTGAGGGCTTCCAGTAGCGGCAAAGTCTTAAAGGTTTGAGCACCATCTTCTGGTCAGGTTTTGGCTTTTGAGGCTGACTTACCTTTGAAAACTTCATTTACTTCAAAAATAAAGATCCCTGGGCTGACAAGCTCAAGCGATTTGCATATTAAAACGAGGGCACTCTAGAGGTAGGGGCCTCGTGGGTGAGTGGGCCCAGGCTGGACCCGCTGCCTGCACGCAGCCCGCTGGGCAGCCCGGGAACACGCTGGACAGTGGTGAGGACCCGCCTTCTGCCTTTCCAGCAGTGCCAGGAACAGTCCCTGCCATGACCCAGAATCGACCTTTTACCCCTGCTTGCCCCCGGTGATGTGACATGTGCTTGGAAAGAAGGGCTGGGCTAGGCTCTGGCCAGCTACAGCGGGAGCGCTGGTGTCAACATGGGCACCACCCTCCGCAGGGGTCAGGCCCGCTGTGGCCGGGTGCCCTGCCTGAGCGTACGCGCTGCACAAGCAGACTCCCACCTTCTGGCGTGGAGGAGACGAAGATAAATGCTAGTCATTCCCTCCGAACGGTGGGAACCTACATCCATCTAATTGCACTTCATAATGGATTCCACAAACCATTAATTATCAGATTATATGTTAGGAACTGAAGATAAAAGGGCTTTGTGAAATTCAGACTCCAAAGGATCACTGACCTGCGGCAGCAGTGGCAGCCAGGAAGAGCGCAGACAGCAGGCCCCTCGCACAGCACGGAAGACGGTGGCAGGAGGCAGAGCCAAGGGCGGTCACAGGCACCACTCCACCTGGCGCTAGCTCCTCGGCTCCTTACCTGCACCGGCGGGAGGAGCAAGGCCTCCAGGTCGGGCAGGAGTTGCAGGGGTTGAGTGGGAAGTGGGTGAGGACAGTGTGGAAAGGCCCCAGGAACTGGCCTTCAGGCACAGAACACTGTGAAGAACATCCCAGATGGCCTCGGAGAGGATGTGCCCAGCAGGAACGCTCCGATTAGGTGGGACTCCCCAGGTAAACGAGCATCCCTGCGGTGACATGCTGCTACCTGTCCCATTACCGCCACAACAGGGGCTGGGCAGCCCATGCTGGGAGGGTGCGAGGAGTGAGGAAAGGGCCTAGTGTGCTCAAGACCGGGGGGGGGGGCGGTCCCTGGATAGCCTGTGGGTGCTTTTCCTTCAATTTTAAGAGGCACTGACATGCAGCCCTACTGTGTGGGCCACAGCCCCAGGCCCACATCTTCGGTTCTGCACAGATGGCTGCTGGCACACTGCACCTCACTGGTGACCCACAGCTCTTCCAGACTCTGTTTCAGAAGCTGTCCTCCACTTACACATGACAGTGTCACAGAGGCCACGGCAGGCCTGCGAGGAGGTCGGCCTGCCTGCTACGGAGAGCAGCTGAGTCAGCACCGATGACTCAGACACTGGGGGTTCCATGAGGACAAGTGTACGTCTTCCGTCTGTTTAACAAGTGAGACTAGTTTGGTTGCTGGTAGGCTAAGATGCTCACCATCCAGGACAGCCAGGGGTAGAGGGCAAAGGGCAAGCCATGGAGCTTTCTCTCTGCTGCAAAGGCAGGACCCGTCACTGGATAAGCAGCCACTCACTTGGCCTCCCCGCAGATCAGGGTCACAGTGCCGTCCAGCAGATCCTCCACGGTCACCGCCACAAGCTCCGAGCTGGCCTGCGATGTCTGGGAATCTGGCAGCGCCACAAACACCTGTGAGCCAGCAAGCTGGGTCTCTTCCAAAGTGATCACCTGCTCAGTTGCAGCCACCGGTGGCTCTGGGGTTTGGATCACCTGAAAGGGAAAGAGCATGAGGCTGCTCCGGGCAGTGTCCACAGTCAGCTCCCCAGAATTTACCTGGCTTTCATCTCCTGCTGTAATGATGATATTTATGTGTCCACCTGAGGAGAGCAATTACATGTGCCTAATGGGAAGAGGCAGATCCAACACACCGGTGATGCAAAAGAGAAGGCAGGCAAGCAATCTAAATAGCTGAGCCACACCGCTGTAATTTGGCACAGCATGCCACCTCCGGGTACCCGGACTCTGTGATTACCTGCCAGTGAACGCCCGTCTCTCACACCGGCCTTCCTGGCTCGGGCACCGCACTGCAGAGGCAGGGCCGAGTGAAGGGAGTGCTACTGCAGGCGGTCGGCTGCACGCTAGAGCCACGGAAACTGGAAGCCCTGACTTGCCAAAAGTCGTGTGCCTGGACCTCAATCAGGTTAAAAGCCTTCTTTGGTGGCTATGTGGGTACAGAGTGAAGGTTACAGGAGGGAGGAGACAAAATATGACTTCTGTCAACCTGCTTACTGGTCTCACGGGGTGGGTAAGGCTGCTCCCTCCTCTCCTCCGCGGGCCACACAGGCCCCTTCCAAATCTGCTGTTAAAGGGGACCTTCTCCTTTCAGGGAGAACTGGTCTGTGCTTAAGTACCCCCAGCTCCTGCCTGACCCCCCAAGTGATGTTTTTGCACCGTGGAGCTCAGGACAGCTGGATGACCCCTGATATTTCCAGACCAGAGTGCTTGCAGGGGGCAGGCACAGGCCCCCCTATTCTTGCAAACTGGCCAGGAATAGGCAGCAGCGGGGAAGCCGAGCTCAGCCACATCTCTGCACTGGGAGTCGAGAGACCGGCTGTGATGTTCAATCAAAAATCACCCAGGAGTGTACTTTTCAAAGTGTGTTTTCCTTCTCTTTTACCAATGGAATCTTTCTCTCCCCCAAAGGACATGGTACCAAGAATCCTAACAGAGAAAAAGCTGACAGCAGAGCTCCTGGTCCATGTGGCAGGCGCAGCATCCAGAAGCCTGCCCGCCCGCCTTGCCCTCTGCTCCCTGAGGCCGAGGCACACAGTTCAGAAGTGACCGCTCCAGGAGGCTAGATGGGGTCAGAGTCAGTCTGCGTCCTTCTCCAGTCCACCCACAAATGACTGCCACCGGGCTTCTCCTCTTCCGCCCACTCTCTCGGGAGAAGACAGGAAGAAAGGAGGAGCAGGACACGGAGAGGGCTGGAGCAAGCTCAGCTTTGAGACATCAGGAGAGGTAGCTCTCCCTGGGAACCACGAGGCCCCACATGTCCACAGGTGTCCTGTGCCCAGCCCAGAGGAGCTGCCAGGGCATCAGCTGAAGGTGTGAGCAACGAGGAGCTCAGGGACCCATCCCCGAGGTTTCCCGCAACTCTTGCTAGACCCCACAGTGCGTCACGGGGGGGACGTGCGTGAATGGGGAGAGAAGCCAAGACGGTTCTGCTTTTGGAAATTCTGGTTCGGGCTCCCACTGCTTAGAGGACATTCCTTATGTGGCCACCAGGACACTAGAACTTTCTCTTCTGTCTGGGAAGAGGCCCTGAGAGACTTGCGCACAGGTCTGCCTGTGATGAATGTATTGCTTACAGGACCCTTGGAGAGCCCCAGAGAGCAAGGCCGGTGTTGTGAGAGGGACACCTGGAGAAGCCTTAGGAACCATGTCGGCAGCCTCCTGTCCGAGGGCCCCAGACTCACCTGCACCACCTGCGAGGTTGCTGCTTGGGTTTCGGGCCCCATCACCTTTGGGTGTTCGGATTCCAAGTGACCCTCCAGCTGGGCCTGGGAGGTGAAGAGCTCCCCGCAGAGCTCGCAGGGGAAGGTGCTCTCCGACTGCTTGAAGTGCTCCGTGGTGACGTGGTGCTGCAGGGCTCCGGGGAAGCGGAAAGTGGCCGCACAGTACAAGCACCTGAATGGCTGTGACCCTGGAGGAGGGAGACAGAAGGGGTGGGCTGTGGGTGAGAAGCTGAAAGGGACAAGAGCAGGGGGAGGGGCAGATCAAGGGCAGATCCAGGTTCTGTGGGACCGAAGCTCCCCTGAGCCGTAGCTTCAGCAGCACCGGATGCAGGCTCAACCTGCCTTTCCTGAAGCCCACCGTCCACTCGACTGCATGCAATGATGCTGATGACACCACGTTTCATAACTCCAGGCAGCAAATTTTAACGACTCTGGAGTGGCTTCGGGGCCATCTTAGGACTGCTGCGGGTGAGGTGGCGGCCAGTCACAACTGTTCGTGACCGTGCTCGGAGCACGTGGAAACCTGACGAAAGCCGGCAGCAACCCCACAGAACGCGTCTCTGGGGCTTGGAAGAAAACCCCTAAGACAGGGTGGGGGTGCGGGGGTGCACAGCTGTAACTGACAGGCACCCAGAGATTTAGAAGAGAGGAGGCCAGAGGTGAGTGTTCAGAATGTTTGGACACCCCAGAGCAGGAATCAAAAGTGCACCAGTTTCGCACGGTGCTCCGCAGACCACGGCCAGAGGCTGCACTGCGTTCTCCATCTGCACCCAGCACTCTCAGTGGCGGAGTGTAACACCATGGGCAAAACACGCACGTCAACAATCTGAACTGAAAGTGACTCTGAGAAGCTGGATCGTTGTCTTAATTCACTTCTTGTTTTCCTTTCTATGTATGCACACAAGGGTACATGAAAATCCATGTCAAAACAGGCCCAAAACAGCACTCGGAATAGCCTATAAACTCTCAGTGACAAGGAAGCACAGTTTCACTGGTTCATTAAAAAGGGTGTGTCTCATCACCGGCCCTTTGGATTTGATGAGACACAGCAGTGACAATGACAATCATGGAGAACACGGGACGCTCCCTGGTGTCAGGCCGCTGTGTATTTTCTGTCTGCTAACATGCTCAATTCTTTCGGTTACAGGGTGAGGTGGGAATGACAGCTGTCCCCTTTTACAGACAAGGAAACTGAGGCATGGGTAGCTACTAAGATGGGCTGCACAGCTGTGGACAGTGGAGGGGAGAGTCACTACTGGGCACTGCAGCTCGACAGCATCCCCAGGGGCACTGACCTGAATGCTGGCACTTGATGTGAACTTGAAGCAAAGCTGGCGTGGGGAAGAGCTCCTTACACTGGTCACACTCATGGAACTTCATGTCTGTGGAGCACATGAGGGAAGAGGCGGTGGGAAAACAAAAGGACGGCTCTCCGAGGCTGCACAGTACCGGGGCCGGGGCGGGGTGGTGGCTAACACCGAGCAGCATCTACCAAGTGCCAGGACCTGCGCCTACAATGCATTAGTGCGCTCTAGTGGTAAAGGCTGCAGGTCTGGGGGTGCAAACGGGGGTGCTGTGAGGATTACAGGACGAAGCACATGTGGAGTTCTCAGCACTGGGCCCTGCGTTTAGGAAACTCCTCCTTACTGCTGGCTGTGGCGATTACCCCCAGATTTGCCTGCCAGGTAGGGATTAACAACAGAGGAGGGGAACAGGCTCAGGGAAGTCACCTGTCAAGGTCATGCAGCTGTCAGGCCGCAGTCAGGGTTTCCACCCGGAACCTGTCTGCCACCTAAGCCGCCCCCTTCTAAATGCTGTGGCCAATCGTCACTCGGGGGGCTGGCAGGAGCTTGCCCTGCCTAGGTGCCTGGGTTTGAGAGTCACTCAAGCTACTGTCACTGGTGGCCCAGGGAGCCCCCTTCAGGTGTGCTGGGTCAGAACAAAGGCCATTGCGTTCTAGCACTAGATGCTGGGATTCTGGGTCAGGACCCAGGAAGCCAGGTCACGGGCTTGTGCTCCCTGCCCCTGGCTCCCAGCGCACCTGCATGTTCTGTTTTGATGTGCTTCTTGTGTTCCACGGTGTTGGGAAAGGTTTTGTCACACGAGCTGCACTGAAGTGACGAGAACTTAGAAGATCGATGATTCTGAGCGGCAAACACATCAGGGTGGTGGGTCCGATTGTGGTACCACAAACCGGACAATTGCTGCAGGAGATTGGGCAAAGTGTTAGGGTTTAGAATGTTCTGGCAAGCTGGGGAGCTCACAAAGCCCTCATGAGAGAGAGGGAAATATTCTCAGGCAAGTTCGCAGGTCCAGAGTCACACTCTCACCCATCACACTGAGTGCTGACATGACAGAGCCTAGTGTCAGCAGGACAGGTCACCTGCCTGTTTCCCAAGAGGCCACTACGGGACAGGGCTCAGCAGAGAAACCAGCCCGAGAGGGAGGGGTTACAACTTCCCGGGGGGTGGAGGCTAAGGCACAGAGGGGTAAAATGACTGGTCCAGGGTCACATGATTAGTGACCAGCAGGAGCAGGATTCAAATGCTGGTGCCTGCTCTTCACCACCGAGCTGTGTCTCAGTGCTTCCCAGAGGCCCAGGGTGTGGTGGGGCACATACTGTCCCTACTCCATAGGCAAGTGTCCCCCTCCCTCCCGGGCTCAGAGAAGCACCAGGACACTGCCTACGGTTCCCTGGTTTCCCAGAGACGAGCCCAGGGATTACTCAGCTCTGGAATGTTGCAGCACAAGGCTTGATACAAGGTTAACTCTCAACTTTTGTTGAAATGAAATCAGCCATCGTGTTTCACTCTCTAACCCAAATCCTACAGATATCAGCAAGAACCAGTCTGTTCTCTGTGGTCTCAGAGTCTCTCGAAGATGCCTTTTATTCTTAGTCCTATATGGGGCTTCATTTAAATTACATACCAAATTCTAAGGTAAAAAAGCAGAGCCCTCCCCTGGGAGTTAAAAAAAGTAACTGTGCTAAAGAAGAGAATTCCAGGCAGTGTTACTACACACCCTACTGTCTTTCTCATGTCCCTGGACACATGGGTCAGCAGGTTCTGAAGAATGTGAGTTCCCCCCAGGGAAGCAGCTCTCAGTTCAGAGGTGTGAGGACTGCCCCAATCAGAGCCCCCCACCGCGTCCCCCCCACTGCAACCAGACCCCCTCAGGGAGTCTGAACCATGACAAGCTGCACCTTCATGAGAGTCAGCCACGCTGTCATCTCTGCAGACGACAGGCGCCCCACGAGCCACAAAATGGAAAGGCCAAAGGGAGTGTCGTTCGGGGGCAGGGCAAGAGCTCCCAGGGGAACGTGAGGTCACCTGGTAGGCCTTGTTGCAGATCCCGCAGCTGAAGGGCTTCCCGCCGACGTGGGTCACCATGTGCCGCTCCAGCATGGAAGGGGCGCTGAAGATCTTCCCACACGTGGGGCAGGGGTGGTACTCCTTGGAGTGCACCTCGTGGATGTGCTTGCGGTGATCCTGCAGCGTGGGGAAGCTCATCCTGCACTTCTTGCAGTCGTAGGGATCTTCTATGTCTGGTTCCGCCAGAGGAAGGGGGCGGAGGAAAAAACAGGCAGCCGTCAGCCACGACATGTGGGAGGCTGTGCACGGCTCCAGACGCAGGGCTCTGTTCAGAGGTCATGCAAGGTCACAGACTCCAAGGACCAGAGGTCAGTACAGCAATCACCTGACTACCTCCATCCTCATCACAGGAGGTTGGGTTCCTCCGAGGCTTCTGGACTAACCACCGGTGCTCATCGAATGGTTCACCTCAATTCCTCATTGTACCTCTTACAAGTTAAATTTCATCCTGCGGCTTTCCAGGGTGTACTGCTCCTGCTCTTCCCCTGCTTGCAGGGGCAGTTCTGTTGTCTAACTCTACAAAGATTTCCAACACGCTCCCCAGCACATCACTGTTTCCTTTGCTGCCGGTCGCACGAACGACAGGAGGAACACTCCCTTGCTCCCCACTTCAGACTTAAACACACTCTCGTGGGTAAAGTTTAATGAGCACCACGTGAAAGGCACGTTCTCAGTGCCTCACACACGAGCCCACTCAATCCTTTCAATAACCCTGTGGGTACGCTCTATTATCGGTCTTATTCTGTAGACGAGGAGAGTCAAGGCTCAGAGAGGTGGCCAGGGGCACCAGGGGGAGGTGGCTGAAGGCGGTAACAAGCCCAGCCTTCATTCCCAAGGCCATGCTCCGAACTATATTGCTTAATTAGACATGCTGACTCTTTGGTGGCATCTCCAAAATAAGAACCAGTGGGATGAAGAATGCATTTGCCATCCCTATGGCAGGAAACTTCAGTCTTTTTCTGAAAACAACAGAAAATGAAGTGTTTTGATAATAGAACCCTTTGCCCACAAGGAAGGAGCTGCCCACGAGCCAGTCTTCCACGCGCACCGGCTCAGACCGACGCGGAAACTCTGACGTGCGGCGGTACCATTAACTGCTTCCCTGTGGACACGCACCCTTGAGATCTCGGTTCTGCTCTGTCTCTCAAGACACTCTGAAGCAGTTCTCCACAAGCAGCGATGAGGTCCCGAGAAACAGGTAAGGAACAAAGAGAGGGTCCTGGGTGCCGGGCCTGCTGCCCCTGACGGCCTCTACGGCACGACAAAGCGTTTCGGTCCCCGCCCCCCCCCCGCCCCCCCGCTCCTGCCTCCTGCGTCATGCTACTGGGAAAAGAAGACTGAAGCATGACATCACTTAGAAAGGGTGAGGGCTGGAGAGCATCCTGCTAAGTGAAATGAGCCAGGCGGTGAAAGACAAGTACCATACAACCTCACCTCTAAGTGGAACCCAATCAACAAAACAAACAAGTGAGCAAAAAGGAACCAGAGAATGGAAACAAAGAACAAACTGACAGTGACCAGAGGGCAGTGGGGTGCGGGTATGTAAGCAGGATAACAGGAAAGAAGGGGGGAAGTCAAGGAACATGTGTAAAGGACCCATGGACAAGGACAACAGGGTGGGTATTGAATGTGGGGGGTGTGGCAGGGGAGAGCAATGGGGGAAATGGGGACAACTGTAACTGAACAACAATAATAAAAAAAGAAAAGGTTGACAGGGCATCAAACTTGTGGGGCTGGACCCAAGCCAATCTCACTCATCTGGAAGTCTACTGTAACCGAATGCTTTGCACAGGCTTGCAAACTCTTTGGGGGGTCGTGCGCTTTATATTCCTCCTGTATCACTCAATTTCCAGCCATGGGCTGGGCACACAGGAGCTCTGGCAAAGTCCTTTGCTGGCTGGCTGATGACAGTCTTGACTGCGCGGACATAAAACCCAGGCTCATGAGGTGCCGTGTTTGCGGACGGCTAGAAACTGGTGTGGGGGGATCAAGGGCAGGGATGGGAGAAGGGAAGGTGGGTGTGCAAGGGGCACGGTGCACAACAAACAGGCTTTGATGGTGACAGCAGCAGCCCTGAAAGGGTTGCTCTTGTCACCAGGACTCCTTTCTGGCACCCACTGAGCACTTTTGTGTGTTAGGACTGGAGTTTCATGCTTTAAACGTGATAGCTCACTTCATTCTCAGGACAATTTAAGGTGCTAGCGTCATTATTTTCTTTAGTTTACAGGAAGGGCCCAAGAGACTTAGAAAGGTAAAGGAATTTGTTTAAGGTCTTAAGGAAGTGAACAGCAGGGTCAAGATTCCAGTCCAGTCCAGGTGATTTCAGGGACCATGCTCTCAACCCCCTCGTTGAGCTGTGCCCTTGACACACCTGCCGCAGCGACAGCAGGCAGTGTGATGCGGCTGCCAAGGGCCACACGGCGACTTCCTGATGCTGTAACAGGAATCACAGTCCCCCTGCCTTCCTGTGCGTGTATTCAATATAAGTGTGTTTTGTCGGTATCGGTTCTAGCGGAAGGGGAGAAAGATGGAGGCCGACCCCACCAACTGAGTGACTACCATGGCATTTGAAAGAGAACGTTGGCAGGAGGCTTTTAAGCAAGCGTGACCAGGGACCACTCATGAGGGTGCACGTGCACTCAAAGGGTGCCAGTTGCTCCTATGGGGAAAGGTGGGCATGACTGCGAGATGAGAGTGGGAAGGAGGGTGGGGGTAGGATCCAGACTCTCAGCGGACTAACTCGAACATCCCGATGCTCTGCCAGCCTGTCTGTTACAGAGGCTCTTCCCTCCGGCCAAATGGGGCTGGGGGGCTACGAAGGAAGACAAGGAAACAGCCCACCCAGCGGAACAGGGGTCACACAGAGACATGTCAAATGGGATTCCCCTTGAGACGGAAATGAGGGACTCTGGGTTTTGTAGGGAGCAGGGGAGGGGAAGGCAATGAGCACGGCCCGGCCCTGGTGGAGTGACAGTTCTGCTGTGACTGCTGCCTGGTTGCTCAGGGCCGGTCTGTGCAAATGCCCACCAGCTGCAGTCTCCATACTTACTGTGAAATGTGTGCAGGTGGATGGAGAGCCCGTTGGCTTGTCGGAAGCCCTTGCCACAGTCCCTGCAGACGTATGGCTTGTCCCCGGTGTGGGTCCGCACGTGGCGGGACAGCTCGATGGACTGGGCAAACACCGCATCACAGTACTGACACGCGTACATCTTTCCTGGAAACATACAAGAACATATTAGAGCCAGCACTAACCCTTTATGGCATTCCTAAAGGAAAGTCACATTCTAAAGCATGTACCGGGGAAATATAATCTGCGACATGAGGGTACAACGTTGGGCAGTTGGCAATACCCTGGGCGAGAGGTCTGAGCCACCCCATCAGATGATGCCTCACAAACACGGCTGACGGGACAGAGACGGTGTCAGTGCGGTCTCCCTGCCCTGAGGGACGAGGCAGAGTTCCCATCACACAAGATCATCCATCTTTGAACCAGGCCATCACAGGTATGAAAGCTCATTCCGCTGCCAGGAAACAGATGTACATCCTGTGCCCAGAAACACCCAAGTCTGAGCCCCTTGAAACAGGTTCGGCACAAAAATGCGACAGCACATAAAGGCGAGAGACGTGGATTCAGAGAAGAGTTAAAGCCGTCTCTCAACGACCTGCTATAGTCACTACAGATCACTTGGCTCCTCTATTTTCTCCTTCACATGGTAAGAACATAATTACCAGACTGCCAAAGACTGTTATAAAATACAGGTAAAGAGCAAGTAGAGAACTAGCATTTGTTAAAAACGCTAGACCAGCTATACCTTCAATCACCCTTATAGGCCAACAGAGAAGGAAAATCAGTGGGGTGAGGGTCCGGACCCCCCAAATCCTAGGCCTACTCACACTACAGCAATCAAGCTCATTTTCATTTTTCCACATTGGGCTTTGAAGTAAGTTTCTGTTACAAAAAAAGGGTGTCTTAAGCCACAAATTTGAGTCACTGAGAAGTCTCAGATCCAGACTCTTCTTTGCCCCAACTTTCTAGACAACCTTGTCTCAGAGCTGCGGATCCCCTCTGCACACTGACAGCACCCGCACCCCCATCTCCAGCCCCCAGCTTTCCCCGGAACGCCGGACCTCTGCACCCCGACTGCTCATCACTCTCCGCCTGTCTGGAAGTCTAACAGGCACCTCGGATTCGTAATGTCTAAAACAAAGCTCCTGATTCTCTACCCACCCCCAACACGCCCATGTCCCCCACTTCAGTAAATGGGAGCGCCATTTACTCGGTTGCTTATATCAAAAATTCCACAGCCATCCTTGGTCCCTCTCCTTCCCACACATCCCTCATCCAAGCCATCATTAGTCCTACTACTTCCATGTTTAACAATACTTCCCCAAACCTGAACCTTTCACACCTCTCTGCTCCCAACGCAACTCCAGCTGACAGCTTTAAAACCTCACACTGGATATGGCAATGACTCCTGCCTCCCTGTTAATACTCTGCTCTTGCCCTATTACAGTTTACTGTCCAGCATTATGTCTAAAAGACGTAAGTCAGATTCTATCACTCTTTGGCTCAAAACTCTCCTAAGGACTGCTGTGGTAGACAGCACGATGCCCCAAAGATGTCATATCCCAACCCTGAAAACTTGTGAAGGTTGTCAGCTTACATGGCAAATGGGACTCTGTAGATGTGAAAATTAGGGATCTTGAGACGGGAAGATTGCCTTGGATTGGACACGCAGGCCCCGAGCAGTCACCAGGGTCCTTGCAGGATGGAGGAAGGAGAGTCAGGGAGGAGGCATAATGGCAGAAGCAGAAGCTGGAGTAATGCGGCCATGGGCCAAGGCGCGTGGGCAGCCTTTACGGGCTGGGAAAGGCAGGGAGCGAAGGCAGGCAGAGCCTCCAGGAGGAACGCGCTCGGCCCAAACTTTAGTCTTGTTAAGACCATTTTGGACTTTTAACCTCCAAAGTAGCAAGATGACATATTTGTGTTGTTTTAAGCCACAGCTTATGATACACAGTTCACATCAAACCCAAGTCCTTACCTTGGCTTGTAAGACCTGCAAGGCCCGGCCTCTGGCGACCCTCTGATCTCATCTCCCAACATGCACTCCTGCACCTCGCTCTGGCCCCTTCTAGCTTCTCTGGCTCTCTCTCACGCAGCTCCCGCTCTCTCCCACTTGGCATGTTTTTCTCCTGGAGCTTCCCCAGGTTCCATTTCCACTTCATGCAGGTTTCTACTCAAATCTTAGCTCTCAGAAGCCTTTTCTGAAGATACAAATAGTGCCCCACCCCAACCCTGTCGTGCTCTTGCTGGTTACCCCACCCTATTTTTCTTTGTAGCAAATACCACTGTCTGCATTTATGTTGCACAGTTGTCCACGGTCTACTTTACCCATTGGGATGTCGGCTCCATGAGAGCAGCGTGTGTATAATGACATGCTATCCCCAGTGCCTGCCGTAGGCCTCAAGAAATTCATTTACTCAGTAAATATTACTGAGGGTCTACTATTGCCCAGGACTATTCTGCATTCCACAGATACAGCAGTTTAAAAAAAGTCTAACAGTTGTGCCCTCATAGAGCTTTCATTCTAACGGGGGGAGACTAACTGTAAACAGATCCCCGAAGCAGGTAACGCAGCATAAGATGCGCACGATGGGAGAACCAGGGCAGGGGGCCTGGGCCAGGCCGCCGAGACTCCGCGCAAGGCGCCAGCAGAAAGTGGGGTGACAGCCTCTGCATACAGGATACAGTTTAGCTTCAAAAGGACCCCTGGGGCTGTGTCCTGAGAGCTCCGTCCAGGGAAAGGGCAAGGGAAGGTGAACAGCTGGGAGGCCACAACAGTCCAGGGAGACAAGGCAGCATTATCGCTCACACGTGGATGCTCTGAGCTGCACACAGAACCCTCGGGACGGCTGCTCCCCACCGATTGGACTGGAAGCCCCTCCTGCTGCCTTCCCAGTATTGCTGCGCACGACACCACTGGTGACGCTGCCTATCACCGTCCTACACTAGACACACTCCACGCCACCAGCTCTGTGAGCACAGGACCAGCCCAGTCACCAGCACCATCACTGCCCGACCCACAGGTGCTCAGCCGAGGTCTGTCTCAAGCTTAAAGGCCGCTGTCAAGCCCCAGGAATTCCTAGCTCTATGTAGATTCTGCAACTATAAAGTTGTAAGCCCCCGTTAGCCAGCCTCCCTTCAGAAACTCTCACGGTATCTGACATGCCCGTGCACATACGTGCTCCTGGTCCTCTGTGAGCCTAGATCGTACATTGTGTTTTGCTTTTACTCTCCTAGAGATACATACCACGCCTACTTCCGCGTGCATTTTTAGGCAGCTCACGCAAAGTCTGCAGGAGAAATGAAGACATCCCCGCGCCTCACCTTCTGAGTGCTTCTTCTTGGTGTGGTAGGCTAGGGCCGAGGCCTGCGTGAAGGTCATGAGGCAGTGCTTGCACATGAACGGGCGGTCCCCCGTGTGAAGGCGGAGGTGGTTCTTCAGTGTGGAGTTGGCCGCAAACTTGGCCCCGCACTCTTCACAGGAGAAAGGCTTTTCGTCAAAGTGCTCGGTCAGTTTGTGGTACTGCATGCCTAGGGAGGCCATGCGGGAGAGAAGCTAGCAGTCGGGGTCACGAAGCTGCACCACGTCCCGCCCCAGGACACACCCTGACAGCACTGCCTCTGGGCGGGCACCACCCACGTCGGCCTCCCACAGCCATGCTGCTCATCACGTGTCCCTGCTGCCCGCTGCCCGCCACCCAGATCTCCAAAGTCACCTCGGCCTCACTCACGGTTTAATCAGGTGTGACGTGTCCTAGGTGTATCTTTCCTCTCTCTCTCTCTTAAATAGGACCCAGTCACCCAGAAAGAGTGAAACAAAACTCACTTTTATGTTTCATTAGTTTTACCCAGCACCTGGGGCAAGGGAAAACAACCCTGACTGCACGTCCCGTGATTTCCGGAACTCTCGTTATTTTCAAGAGACAAGTGATGCAGAAAAGCCAGACCATCAGGTGTGAAACAGCTGGTTGTTGTCACAAATGACGACAGGCACGAGGTGCTGAGTGCCAACTCTACTGCAGGCACCACACCACGTATCTGGCTCTATCATCTCAAATCATCGTTAACAATCTAAGCGGTACGTGGCATCCGGGTGCCTGTCGGTGGGGAACTTAAAGTTCAGAGAACTGCCTGTCACGCTCGTGCTCTTCCCAAACCGCCGCCTGACCCGAAGGAGCCCGCTCATTCCCCAAGGTGCCCACCGTGCACACCGAGAAGCGGCGCTGGAATCCCAACCACGGCACTCAGAAGCCCCGCCTCGCTCACTCCACACTCGGGAAGGTACCTGAGGCATGAGCAAACTCTCTTCCGCAGAGGTCACACGTCACCGGAAGCCTCTTCTTCTTCTTCTTGGGGACGTCAGGCTCTCCGCCTGCACCGTGAGCCTCCAGCTGATGCTTCTCCAGCTCCCGCTTCGAGTCCTTGGTCTCGCTGCACTCCTTACACTGCACCTGTTTGCTCTTGGCCGCCCGGCAGCGCTTCATGTGCACCTTCAGGCGGCAGTAGAAGTGGAAGCTTTTGTCACAGGCCTTGCAGATGAAGCTCTTCTTGGCAGAGTCTGGGGAGGAAGAAGTGCCTTTCTCCTGCTGTTCCGCCAAGGAACCAGTCTCTCCTTGGTCGTTCTGTTTCCCGGACTGGCAGTCTTCTTCACCTGGCTCAGCTGCCTGTTCATCTGCTTTGTCATTAGTTTCAAGGTGAAATTTATTACTCACCTTCCACGTTTCCTCCCCTCCATTTTCCTGAGTAAGGAAACCTGCATGGGAGAGAAAGCACATGGCCCTGGGAGTTCTCTAAGTTTCTACTTTGCTTTCTAACGTTTCTTCTTAGAGGAGAATGCAGACTACTCGAGACCCTCAGAAAATGCTGGAGTAAGATCTCTGTCACCTTTACTTGATTAACACAAACAGTGTCATTTTATATCTATGTCTATGACTTTCCTAAGTATTGAGAGCACGTGAAATAACTAAGGCAGCTAGGCATGAACTCTCACATGAACTGCCGCCTCTTCTCCCTAGTGAGGAAGCGGCCCGGGGGCCCGCCAGGACCCGCACCCCGCCCGCTGCTCACCAGCGCTTGCCAGCTCCTGCACGACAGGCTGCAGACCTGGGCAGGACCTGCGGGCGCTGCAGAGGAGCTGACACAGTTCCCAGGCTGAGGCGGACTTCCCCATGGCTCTGCTCGGCGCTGCTCTCGCGGATGCTCTGGGGCTGGCTGGCTCGGAGGAAACGCCCAGCATCTACATGAACACGAGAACACGAGACAGAGATTTGTGGTTAACAGCAGGTTTTCGGCATGGTTTTCAACTCTAAAAAAATAAAAGCTAAGTTCAGGCAGGCACTGCCCCATCCGTACCAAGTTTACATGGCTGGTGATAAATGTAGTGGAGAGCCCTGTTTTCCAAAGAACAGGGAAATCAACAAAATAAAAAAAAGAGGCACATGGAAAGACACATGTGCAAATACAAAGAAGGTGCAAGCGAGGAAGCATTAAGCATTTTCAATGAAAAATTCCCTCCTAGCAACCAAGAATCTCCCAAAGAACTTTCCTAGATCTTAATGTTAAAGCTTAGAAAACCGTAGGATTTTGTTGTTGGTGTTTCTGCCTTGAAGATCAAAATAATTTTTCATAATATATAATTGTCTCAATGTCTGGAAGTAATTTTGCATGATCAGTAGCTTCACATTTTTAGATACTCAGATGCACCCTTTTCAACATCATTTTCTTTCATAAAGAAACTCAGCTTTTTAAAGAAAGGGCCTTTAAAGAGGCCAAGAACATTATTTCAAAGCCACCCTCTCTCAGAATGTTAGCGCTATCGGCAGAAAGACTCGGTACATGGAGAAAAGAAAGCAAACCCATCCACAGATGGCCAAATGGAATTTTCATTCTGGAAGGTATTTTACTCCTGCTCTTTTCAAGTCTATCTAAATAAACCTGAAGTCCCTGGAGGGAGGCATGAGACTAATTAGTGAGGCTAAAACTGATCAACGGCAGAAGCCCATCTCTGCAGTGCAGGTGTCCTGGAAGAGAGTCCAACAGCTGAGTCTTTCCTCGGATCCCACAGGAATGTGCGCCACCTTCTTCCCATCTGAGAGTCAGACTGAGGTGGGGCCGTCACCTGTGTGGGCCATTAGAAACCAGTCCTTTGGCCCTGGCTGACGTGGCTCAGTGGACTTGAGCAACCGACTGAGCATCAAAGGGTCACCAGTTTGATTCCCAGTCAGGGCACATACCCGGGTTGTGGGCCAGGTCCCCAGTGGGGGGTGCATGAGAGGCAACCACACACTGATGTCTCTCTCCCTCTCTTTCTCCCTCCCCTCTCTAAAAATAAATAAATAAAGTCTTAAAAAAGAAAGAAACCAGCCCTTCTGTACACCTCCCACGCCTGCGTGGACAAAAAGGCGCTACAGGTGGAGCTGGGGTTTCGCTTTATGCTCCTTTACGATTCCTCCCCGTGCAGGACACACAGGACCCTGGACTGGACGTCCACGAGTTCTCCCCAGGCCCCACCTAGTTTTTCTGGGATGCGGCCACACTGTGAGAAGCCTTACGGAAGAGGAGTTGGCACTGTTTGTTACCCCATATGGGCAAAAGCTTTGTTCTATCTATGTTTATCTTGGCTCTTTCTAGAAGCCAAAATGGAGCATGTAATAAGACCATTTTACTTTCCTTCTTCTAAAAGAAGTTGCTTCTGAAAACATGTTATTTAGAGAACAGTATTATGGTTCCCTTTGAGTTCACAGAGATGCAGACGAATGGAATAAATCTAGGTTTAAATCACATGAAGCTGGTTTATACTCTGGCTTCACCTGTGACCAGTGGAGCATCCTAGACAAGTAACTGAGCCCCGGGAGCCTCGGTCCCCTTGTCTGTGAAATGCAGACGACAGCATCCTCGTCCCACTTCGTTGGGAGGGTCAAGGAGCAGACGTGCTGTGCACGCGGAGGGCAGGCGGCAGCGGGCTCCTCCCGCGGGAGGGGCGGCCCGGGCATTAACTCTGACCAACCCCCGCCAGGGTGTGTTTTTACCCCCCCCACACCTCCTTCACCGTCTCCGCCAGGCGCTCCTCCTCGGAGGTAAAGCCCCCGTCTTCCCGCCTGTGCTGGACGGCCTCCAGGATCAATCTGTGATGCCTCAGGATGATTTCGAGGGCAGCACTTTCCGGGGTGGTCACTGAAAGAAAGCGAGTGGAAAACCCATTAGTAAAAGTAGGAGCACCGTTCTCGGCTCTGGGCATTCTCTTCACCTTTTCTCAACTCAACTCTTCACGATGAGGACGCACTGCACCTGTCTGCTGCCTGGGGCTGGGAGCAAGGAAAACGCACACAGCACCGCACTCGGAGTACAGTTACTATACAAGCTCGGAATACTCGCTGCACATTTTATCAAAAAAGGGTGACATCCAGATCAAAATCACTAGTCCCTGCTCCTAATGGTAGAGACGTGGAAGATTAGCGTAAGAGAGTTCTTTCTATCTTCCGAAGGAACTCACAATACCCTCCAGTGGGAACAAAGGCACGACCGGGGTCGGGAACCCACCTGCCCGGAAGAATGCGTCGGCACCAGGCTCCCTTCGTATTTCCTCCATGAGCCGGCTCAGCGGGCAGGTCTTTGTCTCCTGGACCATCATCAGCAGCTGCCACACGGCTGTTGCAGAGAGAGCCTGCTTTTCCAGAACTGCCGACATCAGAGAAGTGAAACCACCCGAACCAGAGTCACGTTTCACAAGCTTCTCCATGACCTTCAAGATGCAGCACAAACATACGTGTCAGGGGCTTTTCAGCCACTGGCCCAGCCACCAGGCCACAAGTCTGAGCACTGGGTCTCTGGGAACGGACTCCTGGGGGCGGGGGAGGGGGGGCGTTTCTTAGCATCCTCCACCTCTCTCAACCTGAGACTCTCTTATATAACTAAGCCCTTCATTCCTCCCATTGCTTGCCTTTCCCTACTGCTGCAGAAATTACAGCTACCTACTGTCACGCAACCTCACGAACTGAGTCACTTCTACTCCTCCATGGACGCCTGAGCATTTCTCAACATAGCTGTGTATATATTCATATAAGATATAAACATGTTTTAAAAGTATATATATATATATATATATATATATATATATATTCACCTTTTCTCCTCTCTCATTTCACTCCCGCCCCATCCCCCACCCTGCTCCCTCTCTTACCTCTCTTTCTCCAGGGGCTAAACTCTTCACGTGTGGGATCATTTTTAGTAACACCTGGTTGTCTGTGAAAATCTCAGAGAGGTTTTCGTGGTACCGCCTCAGCAGCTCAGTCCCGTAATCATCAGGGCTCGCCTGGACTGTAAAGACATTAGCAGAACAATAATAATGCCCGACAGAACACCCCTTCCTCAAGGGCTTCTGCTACAGAAGTGCAGGGGAGTAACGAACGGGAGGGAGAGGGAGAGCAGCGTGGGAGCTGTCTCCTTGGGAGAGCAAGAGCGGCTCCCGGCCTGGGGAGCCTCACACCACACACGTGTGCTCAGGGCTCCTTTGATCTGCACATGATTACTCGGTGCTTCGGGGGCACAAGACCACAGAACCTTTGAAAGTTAGTGCCCAGTAGCAGAAGCTAGCGATTGCTCAACAGGGTGGGGAGGTAATGAGAAGGCTGCACTTGTAGGAGATTCAGATGTACAGATTCTGGGGGTTGGTCATCATGGCTGAGGTGAAGGGTCCCTGTGCTGGTCCAGAAAACCAGCAGGTATACGTCGCGACTGTGCAAGTGAAACCCTTTGAGCCAGTCTGCTAGATCCTCTCTTAAGAGGTCAGATTTATTAGAAAGTAAAGAAAAATCGACACCATCAGGCATCTCCCATAGTTTTGCAGATATTTAAAATTTTATTTTCCTCTTTGGCCCAATAACTCTGCTCCTGAGCATCTAATGTTGAGAAATGTTTTGAAGAAAAAAAAAATGTGGTCTATGTATTGAGGTATTTGTCCCTATGCAACCTGTGGTGATGGCGATGGTAATGATGATGATGAAGATACTAACAACTAACATTTACTGAGCACCCACCACGTGCTACCCAACACCAGGCACTGTGTTGAATGTTTTGCATATGTAGTCTCATGGTAGCCACAAAAATGAACATGACAGGTGCCTGCTTCTCTTTATTTCACAGAGGAGAGAACAAGGTTCACTTAGGACACTTGTTCAAGGTCACACGGCTACAAAATGAGTCAGGATGCAGAGCCAGGCGGCGCTGACCGTCTTCATCACTACGCCACCTGGGAACCAGAGAACATCCTCATGATGGGGGCGCAGAGCCTTCAGAACAGGAGTGTAGGGAGGTTTTTTTGTAATGGGGAAGAACATCTGTTACACTGTTAAATGGGAAAAATGATGAAATGATAAATATGATAGAGTATCTCAACACTGTACTGTGACAGACAAAATATGTCAATGTGTGAATATTGACACGATCAGGTAGTAGGTTTTGGTTTTCTTCTTTATTTTTAAAACTGTTCAAGTCTGCCTAAATATACATTTCTTTTATAAGCTAGAAAAAAAAGTCTCTCATCTCCCAAATACGCTTTTTCTGAGAACCATCTAGTTTCAAATGCCCTAAGTTAGGGGAGAATTGGCTGGAGTTGTTGTTTTTCTAGGAATGGAACTGAGACTCGCTGCCCCAAACTGAGTGGGTGTGAGGGACAGCTGGAACCAAGCAGCACTCAAGTGGGAATGGGGAAATCAAGATTTGCAAGGGGGGGGGGGGGTTTGCTCACATTTGTCAATATAACATGTCAAAATTGTGAGCCTCGTGAGCCCGCCTGGCTCTGCAGGCATTCACAGGTGACACAGGACAGTCCTGAGAAAGCCAAATTCAACAAACCCTGCCCCACTGGAATGTGATGAGGGAGCTTAACAGAAAAGAGTCGTTCTCAGGTCTCAGGTCTTTACTCTGGAAACACTGGAATCACTGTTTTGTGACAGGTGGTCCCTGTTTTGCAATGGCATTTCTTAACATAATCTTGCTGCCCAGCATGGAGCTAAAAGGGTGTTTTAAGCTATAATTTTCTGCGGGAGTGGTTCCAACCCGGAGAGCCAACAATTAACTAATACCTGTGGTGTTCGGCAAAGTGGCTAGTTTCTGCAAATTCTCCAGCAGAAGGGCCAAGTTCGGGAACATCATCTTCACAGCCTGGAGCAGTTTTACCAAACTCTCAGCAGTCAGGCTCCTCTCCTTAGACATTCTGTTCAACAAATTTTCTATTGTCTCCTTGGGTGTTCCGCCCTCACAGCAATTCAGAATCACCTGCGGTGGCAAGTAATCAACCAGACACCAGTTACTGGCAATTGCAAACGTATCTGACACACCACTGGAAAACCCAGCAGGACGGTTTTACAAGATGCTCTGTCTCCACGTCCTCCCTCTGCTGGTCTCTAGCGTTTTTTCATCATTTCTTCCTTACTCTGTTTCAGTAAAAATCCGAAACATTCTCCAAACAAACAGCTCTATGAAAACTGATCTTCCCCAATTGCACGGCTGTGTATATTCTTTGCCTCCATGAGTTCGCACTCTGAAAATAGTCTGAGACCAGGCCTGTACGGCAGAGCAAGTAGCTTACATCTGACCTGATTCTTTAGACTGAGTTTGCTCAGACACTAGGATTGAGAAACAGATTGGCAATTAATTAATACAACTAGAGTGTTTTTCAATTTCTGTTCAGTAAAGTATAGGTTGCAATTTCAAAGCAATTCTATTATTTTACTTCCTTTTATTTGTACAGCAATCTGAATACCCAGATAATTTATATATTGTTTGTGCTTCCAAAATAACAGGTTTAAAGTACATTTCTGGGTCACTTTTCTTGCAGATTCTTTACTGTCTATCCTTCCTGTTCTCAATGGCCATATATGTCAGCTCTAGGCGTCACCCCCCAGTACCACTCCATGCTCCTCCTGGGTGTGAGAAGGGTGTTCTGAGTCAAGAACGCATGGGGCTCAAGCAAAAGGGTGAAAAACCAAATGTGTGACAGCTATTTTGCAGGTATTTTCCTGTTACAATAGAACTGTTTCCTAAAGGGTTACAACTCAATCTGCATGACTTGGCTCTTATGAAACTGACAATGCAGGGGACTGTGTCAATACACATAATCTACAGATTCACAGTAACTGAACTTCGAGACATCCTTTGGGACACTACTGGCTCTTGGCAGAAACAGTCAGGGGGACCGGTCATGACAGCATGCCAGGGGATGCTACTACCAAGTTAACTCCCATTTTAAAAGAATGAATTGTGCGATAAGACCAAATCGGTTTTATATATATGAAAGGAAAATCTGTATTATATATATGAAAGGAACGTATATATTATAAATCAAGTTGTCATACTCCTTGTCAGTACGGAACATAGTCAGCCTCTTTATGGTCTAATATGTATTAGATTTCTCCTAAATGAACCATAATTTAAAATGTAAGAGCTTGTATCTAAAAACCATACTGATTTCAGTGCTATCTCCTCGTTCCTAAGCAATAACCTGACACGTAATGAGGCAGCCAGTTCCTGTTAAGAGCAGGAATGGGTTTTATAGCCAGACAGGTCTCGTTTGAATCCCAGTTCCACAATGTATGGCCTCTGTGATCTTGGGAGAGATATTTAATTCTTTGAACCCCATTTTCCTCATCTGCAAAAGAAGGTAACTGTACCATCTCTGATAGAGTTCTTACAAGGTTTCCGTAAAATGGAGCTGCTATTTGTGGAGCCTAGCAGAACGCCCAGGTCACAGGAGACTGTGAGTAAAGGACCGGGGTCACTGACGTCACGGGGAAGCAGGGTACATGGTGGTTAAGAGAATGCGCTCCATTTGGAAGCCAGGGTTCCAGTGCTGGCCACACACAGCAGTGTCTCTGGGTGAGTTGCTGAACCTTCCTAAACGTCTATTCTTTGCCTTTAAAATTGGGGTGATACCCATGACCTCATCAAGTTGCTGTGAGGGTAGAACTTACAAGCTTCAAATGGCCTATGCACACTTCCTGGCACACAGGGGGCACTAAGTAAATGGCAGCTATGGTAATTGCTATTTTTGTATGTTTCCAATCCTGAAGACCTTCCTGTTTACCATTTCTTACAGCAGCCAAAGTATCTGGAGATAAGAGCCATGGTGCCTGTGATCAGCGCTGCTCCATAACTGGGAAAGGGTCGGGAGGCCCGAATGCATGTGCCTCGATGTCACGACACTGCGGCTATGCGACCAGCATTCACGTCTATACTCCTGCTTCACTGTTCTACTTCAATTTTCGTGAGAAGAAGTAGTTTAATGAGGCCCTGGTGGAACCCCAATCCTAAGAAGTGTTTTTTTGTGTGTGATTTATAGCTAATTTAAGTTCTTCTGCATCAGCCCTTTCTGTCAAGTTAACTGAAAGAGACAAGAAAATGACAGTGTGGTCCGTCTTGCTGCAGAGAATGAGGCTGAGTCTGGGCTCTACCTATAAATGCTGTTTTACCAAGATAATGAAACAGTTCAAAGGACGCATTCAATCCAGCTCATAAGGAAAAGGTCTGAATGAGTAATCGATCGAAATCACTAAGGGAATCAGGTGCTTCTAGATCTACAGGCAACTAACTTACTTTAACTGAGTGACTGAAATTGCACTTAACATGAAGTCCAAGGATAAAACGGGGGTTAACCTTACTCTTATTTTGTGCATTACCTTTCTCTAAGAAGTTCAAAGGAGTTAAAGGTTGAAAATAAAATTAATTTTCAAAATACAATTTTTGAAAGATTTATTTATATTTAGAGGGGAGGGGAAGGAGAGCGGGAGAGAAATATTAATGTATGGTTGTCTCTCGTGCATCCTCTGCTGGGAACTGGCCTGCAACCCAGGCATGTGCCCTGACTGGGAATGGAACCTCGATCCTTTGGTTCGCAGGCCCACACTCAATCCACTGAGCTACACCAGCCAAGGCTCAAAATACAATTTTGAGATTAAAGATCATTCCCATCTTACATGGAAAAAAGCAATACAAGATTACTGAGAAAAAGAATATCAAGAACCCAGTCTCACTCCTAACCCAGTGCTTAGCCTGACACCGGCAGCTTCCACCCATCTTCTCCCCTGAACATGTAGGCTGCTGCCCAAAGTTTTAGAACGGATGCCACAGAAGTTCTCCTATTCCTTCCTTCCAGATACACAACTATGTTTTAGCACCAAGCTGAAATCAATAGCACCAACAAATACAGTTATCTAGTTGACTTGAAAAGTCATGCCAGCAGTTTTACGAAGATTTTAGTAGCTAGCTGGTGGGAGAGTGAACTAGTGTAACTTTCCTGAAGGGCAATCTGGCAACATGTATCAAGCAAGCACTTGGAAAATTTTATACTCTTTATTTGGATATCCCACGTCTTAACCATTACTCTAAGGAAGTAATTTCATTAGTTTGCAAAGACTGTGTGCCGGGACGCTCTCTGCAGCATCACTCCCAACAGCAAGACACCGGGAACAAATGCCCAGCAACGAAGAACCAATGAGTGATGGTATGTCCACTAGACAACACAACACAGCTACCAAAGTCCATGCTGTAAGTACGGAAGTGCATTCACGATATATTAAGTTTAAAAAGTTAAAGAACCGTATGGTAATCCCATCCCAGGGATGATTCAAATAAGAAAAAGTGGGAGCACATGCTCGAAAATGTTAGCAGTGATCACCTCTGAGCAACCATCTCTGAATGTTGAGATGGTGGAATATTTTAATTTTTTCCTGTTTGTTTTCCCAATTTTCCATAGATGAATAGTATAGCTGTAAAGAGGGAGAGTGACATAATAATTACAAACATACCCATCTACTTCAGTTCTCAGGACAGCGGTTTTATAATAAAACTCTTTGGAACAGAGCGGGAATATGCACCCATCCACCCACCTCACCATTGTGAGGCCCTACAACCACCACGTGCGAGGCTCTCAGCAAGCTGCTGCCAGGACAAGGAAGCACGAGTCAAGGGCCCGAACCTCGAGGTGCTTACTGTGCAGCACATACAACAATACTGCAAGATGAAAAGTCCTATGTGTCACAAAAAATGTTCTTTAAAAAGTGCTATACAAATTCAGAAGGGCGGGAGAGACACTCGACAGTCAGTTACCCTTTTCTCGGTGCCGGTCAGGAATTCCTCCTTGGCTGTTTCCAGGAACTCCATAATAGGTCTCAGCTGTGTCACACACTGGATCAGGTCCTCTTTGTGCTCCAGCAACAGAGCGGACAAGGTCCTTCCCTCCTCTGTGCTCCCTGGGGGAGAAAGAGCTGGAGAAGCATAAGAGGAGAGAGTCGATTTGAAGGAAACGACAGCATGGTTTGTCAAGAGAGATCTAACAGAATTGTAAAGTGATTCTTGGCCTATTTTGAGGACACAAATGCACTCTCTCTCTTTTCAGAGAGGAAAATACTTTATTATTCTGTTTAAATTGTATGAAAGGAAAAATGGCTCGCTTATCTGTTGAAACACAAAGCTGCAGAGCCAGCCAGAGGTTAACTTCTGGTTGGCAAGGCCACCGCTTTGTGCCAAACACACATAAGAGGAAACTTCAGCCTTTAAAAGTGCTGTCAGCGAACCAGCTCGCCCTGGGCTCGAAACACTGGTTTGGGCGTGTGGCTTTCTGAAGGGCAGAAGCACACTGGTGGCATTCTCCAACTTCAAGGTGTCAGACAGTTTAGTTAACTAGGGGATAGAAATGGAGACTCAGATTTAGCTTGTATATATTTAACTCGCAGCTTCCGGAATTACATGCACAGTGCATGTGAAAATCACTTAACAATAACTAAGCCACTGAAGAATTGAATCGCTGGAGCAAACTTCAGAGCATCTGCTGGGGACAGAACTCGGTGACTCGGGTGGATGGGTGTGCTCCTACCTTTCGGCCGCACCACGTCCCCATCTTCCGGCTTTCTGCCTAACAGCGCTGCCTTTACGGCAGGGTTGGAATCTTGGTACCGCTGCAAAAGGGACACGACGGACTGAACATTGAGGCTCTCATCTCTCACTTTGTCCAGGATTCTCTGGAATGCTAAACGTCCTTCTTCACCCGTAAGACATCCCATTATGGTCTGTGGAACACAAGTACCCAGAAAGAGAGATCAGCCCGACACAAGAACCCCACACCCCTTGAATTTGTCAAGTAAGGTCCTTGGCAATCTGATTTGACTTTCTGGTGACATCTGGCATTGCCACTGTGTCTGTGTGACGACTGTCCTTTAACTGCATCGTACTGAGGCACTATGAGTAAGCGCTTCCTGACCACTCCTTTCCTGCCTCGCTCATTGGTTCTGCTTCCAAATCCATAACCAGAAGCAATACCCAAGACTGCTCTCAACTCCTTGTTTTTTCTCTCTTTATTCTCTCCCTTTTGAAAAGCTCTCAACTATTGCTTTGGTGTAGCTAACCCTGGAAAGACCTCTCTGATACCGAGCTCTGCGTTGGCATCAAGGCCCGCACAGTTTCTGCTGGATATGCCTTATCCCCACCTCGGCACCACGTGTCTGGACCCGAACTCACCGCGCCGGCCCTGCTAAACCCCAAGTCCCAGAAACGTCAGCAACTCCAGTGACGGAAGAAATAAATCGCCTTCCCTTTCTTTGGTCTGACAGAGCACCTCTCCCACACACACGGGAGGAAAGCTAACTGGAAGGTGGGGTTACCACTTCCACTTTAGCAATAATGAATTTATTTGAAAACAATCTGGTAACGAAAACTTAATTTCATGTGTACAGTTTAAGGTACACAGCCCTTACATTTCTACTTGGCAAAACAACAACCTACCTTTGATGATTTTTTATTGTTGATTCTATGAAAGAAACCAGTTTTCTCACGAGAGTCTTTAAAGAGCAAAATAAGAGTTTCCTACCCCCACCAACTCAACACACAATAGGATCTCATCAATATCTACACTTGCAAAATTAAGCTAGTCAGTTATAAATTCTGGTAGTAATTATATGTTTTAAAATTTTTGTTTGTAGAGACTTTGTCTTTTTCCCCTCGTCCCAAATAAACAGGAATTATAAATGAGGTAGACTCTGCATTCTACGTTTTGCTTTAGCTAGTTTCGGGATTGCAGGATGACTGTGTAAAGCTCAATTAAACCTTTTTTTTTAAAGGTCCCTATGTTTTTTGGTCATCTCCTAAGTAAACGTAGATAAAACACAGTTTAGTCATCCACATTTTTACTGGAGTAAGTAACTACCATGAACTCACCTCTATTTTAAAAATAACAAATGAGATAAAGACACCAACTGAATGCTTATTCCCCTTTAATCACACTTATCCAACCCCCACCCTCCGGTTAGCTGGCCCACAATCCTTTAGAATGGCACTGAGAGCCGCAGGAACCAGGGCAGGCAGCCTCTCCATGGCCCCCAACATTCCTGCCCCCGGGCACTCCTGCCTTTAGGCTGAACCTAACAGCAAGGAAGATGATATGGCAAGGAAAACTGGACGCCACTCCCACGATTAGGTCCCTGTGACTCCGGTCTTGCCTCTGTGTGCACTGCGTCTGTCTCTGCCCTGGACGTGTACAGAGTGGCCAAGAGTCAGTGAGTGAACTTGGAAGTGGCTCTTCTGAAGCCTGCCGAAAGTCACGTGAGTGAGCTTAGAAAGACTCTGTCCCGGCTGAGCCTTGAGGTCTGCAGCCCTGGCTGACACCTTGAGGGCTGGCCTATGAGACCCTGAGCCAGGGACTCAGCTAAGCTAGGCCTGGACTCCTGGCCCACAGAAAGCATGAGGTAATAGAGGTTTATTTTTTTAAGCTGCTAAACTTTAATTTGTTATACAGTAATGCCACGTCCACTGCCGCGTCCACTGTTGGATCCCTCTCTCCGTGACAAGGTCCTGAGAGGGGGAGTAAGACTTCAAGGAAGCAGTTTCCAACTTGGTGGACGTGGCATGGAAGGCCCTGCAATACCTATTGTGATTGTGCTTGCTTTGGGGATCATGACCCTTTTCTGCTTTAATCATTATGAATACCCTTGCAGTGATTCAGATAGTGTGCCTAGACCTTTCCCGGCTCAATGAACAGAATAATGATATCATACTAGAAACGTCAGGGAATATAGGTACAAAGAAACAACCAGAACAATCTAAGAATTCAAACTTAATCAATAACAGATCATTGGAAAAACACCCAAGATAAGTTAGAAAACTCTAGGAAATCAGGAGATGATCTCACTGCTTTCTTAGAGGGAATCAAAGTACAAAACATGTCTATAAAAGAACTCCTAGAGAAACTTAAAAGAAGTACCCTTGAAAGCCCCCTGCAACATAGGAATAGCCCCTCCTTTACCTTGAATAAGAATATATATCAACTAGACAGGCAAAAAAATAACAAAAGCTGGCTAGTTATTACAAACTAAACAGTTATTAAAGAGTTAGAATTTATAATACACAGAAAAACATTTTAGACAAAAAAAGGTAGATAGCTAAGTTAGACATCACAAGAGCCTTATAATAAATCTCCTATTTTCTCTACTCAATCTAGCGTATCCTTTTGCCCTATGACAAATTCTGAGAAACTTTAACATACAATAAGATACTTCTAATTGTCTGATTAATAGCTCTCCTGGTTAAAATAATCTTTGTTTATTATAACTAAATCTATGGGAACTTTCGTACTTTTACTGATTACCTTTGTATTAATTTTTTCTGCTTAAATGATCATTTTATACTGCAAATGTTAATCACTACCTAAAATGAAAATATAAAAACCTGCTTGTACTTGCAATAAACGGAACAGAGCTTCACTGTCCTTTGAGGCGTGTTGTCGTCTGTTACCTAGCGCCGACACCTACCCTCACCTGTGGGACCCCTTGACCCGCTGCGGCTGGACCGCGGCACAGTAACTGATAACAAATACAGGCTCACTCATTGCTAATGTCCTTATTAAACATGTCTCTTTCCCTTGCTTCCTTTCTTCAAGGCATCATAACTGATATAGCTATCCCATCCCACACTTGGCCAGCTTTGTTCACCCGAAGCTCTCCGAATATCCCAAATCCACCTTTCTCAGCATCCAATTTGTCTAGCATCATCATCTGAGCCACTGGGAAAGAGAAGCTTTCATCAATGGTGGCATCTGATGTGCTTCTCATTATCCTCTCTGCTGTTTCCTCCTCTGCAGAGCTACTCAGCAGTGAAATTAAAACATTTGTTAACTTCCTCGCTCAGCAGTGCCGCTAGGCCGACCATCTGGGGAGGGAGGCAGGGTGTGCTGCTGAAGGGGCCGGAAGTCAGTGGTCTGGACGGCCCTGCTCTCCGCTCTCTCCTCCAGAGCCTCCGGGAGGCCTGCACCGGAGCCAGCAGCCGTGACTGCCACCCCCCCACCAGCCTCACCTGCCCCACAGCTCCTCGGTGGAGTGAGCTCTTTCCGAACCCCAGCGTGTATCTGCCTAAACAGAACGGCGTCACGTGCTGCCACAGGCTGCCTTTCACTGACTGCTCCCGTAATGGAGCCCGAGGACGTGAACCGGAACAGAGCTCTGTTCTTTAGCCACACATTTGGAACTCCTTTGATTCTAGAGTTAAAGGCACTTCAGTAAATTCATACCAATTCATAGTCACATGTGTCAGCAAAGCCTTTTATCTGAGTAAAATATTTAAAGATGGGACAGTTTCCTTTCCCTCTATTAGATGTGAAAAACATTTAATCTTCCCTTTATGCTCAGGTCTTCTCATGGACTTCACTTGATTCCCAGCTGTTTGCACACTGCCTCCAGGTCTGGATGGGCACACTCCAGTCCTCCTTGCTCACACTCCCCTAAAAGCTACCAGCAACAAGGACACAGACCATCGCAGCCTGGCGCCACCCCAGACACTGTGCGTACCTGCTGTTGACTTTACCCCCACGTCAGCTCTGGGAGGCCTTACTACAACTGGTTAAATGGGAGTTGGAGGGGTGAAGGAACCTGTCGACGTCACAGGGCGAGCAAGCAGAGTAGCCCGGAAGGAACACTGCACTCACTCCATCAACCTGGCACCCTTTTTACCCAGTTCCATCCCCCAGATTTTGAGCGTAACCAAATCCATTCACACTGGATCCTGTTGGGCTGACTAGAATCAACATCACTTTGAACACTGAGTAGTAGTACCTAGACAGCATGCAGCATTCCTCTGGGTCTCAATGATTAGTAGACACTGGTACATAGTAGGTGCTTAATAAATGTCTAACTGGGACTTCGCCAAGATGGAGGCATAGGTGGATGTGCCGTGCCTTCTCACAGAACCAAGTTTAGAGACAACTAAATACTAGCAACAGAAAACACAGCCAGAACACAGAAAATTGAACTTTTTGGAAGTCCGTTAACAACAAATTCTTCAGCCTGACTGGTAGGGGGCGAAACCAGCGGCTGGTGAAGCGGGGTTGCACAGGAGGACTCGGTCAGACGGACTCAGGCGCGGAATCCAGACGCGCGGAATCCAGACGCACGGAATCCGGACGCACGGAATCCGGGCGCAGGGTTGGACCTAGTGAGCGACCCAGCGAGCGACCAGGTGAGTGACTGCGGGGGAGACAGCGGGGGAGCGGGGCTGCGTGTTGACTGTGGTCTCGCATTTGTGCGTGGGCGGACAGGCAAGGGAGTGGGCGGTTGGACCGGGCCCGGCGGGTCCCCGCAGTGGGCGGCAGTGGAGGGCGCCGCCATTTCCCTGCTCTGACCCCACCTCCACATACAGCATCATAATCCAGCGACTCTGAGTGGCCCGGCCCAGGGGAGCCACCTAAGGCGCTGATCCTCACCCAGCTGTGAGAAACAGCAGAGAGGGTCGCCATTTCCCCGCTCTGACCACGCCCCCACATACAGCGTCACAACCCAGCTACCTGGGAGTCCAAGGCGCCGCTTCTCACACTTAAAGGATGCGAACAGACCAAAAATGTCGCAAGAAGATCGCAAAGCCCCAGAGCCCATAGATCTAAGCGATGAAGAAATAGCAAAACTCTCAGACGCACAGTTTAAAACACTGGTCATCAGGATCCTCACAGAACTGGTTGATTATACCAACAAATTAGACAAATATATGAAGGCGAAACTAATTGAAATGAATGGAATTGCACAGGACACCA